CCTACCTGGTGGCAAGAAGGCAGGGGATCCTCTGCTTCCTGTGGAGCCTCCGTCTGCTGCCTTTGCCTCAGGGGTGGCAGGGTGCGGCTCCACCAATCTGTCTCCCTCTCACACTCCCAGATACTCCTTAGCCTCTCCACTTCCTCCTTCAGCTCTGCCACCAGGCTGAGCAGATCATCCACCTGGTCACACCGCACACAGGTGTCGTCTCTGCCTCCCTCCGCTACAGCCGACAGGCTCAGGCACTCCCTGCAGCCAGAGACCTGGACAGCTGCGTGCTTGCGTGAGGCCTCTGTCTGGGTCGCCACGTTCCTTCTGGCGATGGCTTTCGGCCGAGTGGACAGCATGGCCGGTCCTCTTCTGGGAGGGCGACGACTACCAGTTGAGTTGGCCTCTAGAGCCAGGAGGGGTATTGCGCCCTGCCCGCTCGCCTGCCCTGCACGCCCTGCCTGCGCGAACTGCCGTGCCACGCCCTTCTGATGCGCCACGCCCTGTTTGCCCGCCCTGTTCACCGCGCTCCGGGTCGCTCGCGCTCCCTGGGGGATGCTCTTCTACGTGACGAGGTTTGGCCGCCACCCCTCACCGCCCTTACCGTTTCCTTTTGGAGAGGGCCCACATTTCCCCCCATCTTCCTTTTATCCTTGATGTACCTATAGAATCTTTTCTTGTTACCCTTGACATCCCTGGCCAGATTTAATTCTACCAGGGCGGGTTTTGCCATGGTTTTGCCGCTTTAGGAAGGGTCCCCCGGCGCGATCCTCTGCTCCAGAGCCCTTTGCCTCAGTGACTTCGCCATTCAAACTATTCTATGATTCTATGATTCTATTTGTCAGTGAGACACGGTGTTTCTGGTTTCCAGTTTTTTTTCTGAAATTTGAAGATCTGAATCAAAAGAAGATGAATTTTTCAGCTTTCAAGCTCAATGAGTTCAAAATGCATTTTAATTTTCTTTCTGGTTCTCAGTTTCAATCCAGAGGACCTCACTTCTCAACAGAAGTTCACATGTCCTCCAATCATGATGATCAGAGGGCCGGAGCACCTTTCCTATGAAGACAGGCTGAGAGATTTGGGGTTATTCAGCCTGGAGAAGAGAAGGCTCCGGGGAGACCTTATAGCAGCCTTCCAGTACCTGAAGGGGTCCTACAAGAAACCTGGAGAGGGACTTGGATAGGACAAGGGGTAATGGGTTTAAACTGAAAGAGGGTAGATTTAGATTAGATATAAGGAAGAAATTCTTCACTATGAGGGTGGTGAGGCACCGGAACAGGTTGCCCCAAGAAATTGTGGATGCCCCATCCCTGGAAGTGTTCAAGGCCAGGTTGGATGGGGCTTTGAGCAACCTGGTCTAGTGGAAGGCATCCCTGCCCATGGCAGGGGGGGGGGAACTAAATGATCTTTAAGGTCCCTTCCAACCCAAACCATTCTATGATTCTCTGATTCTATGATTCAATCCTGAATGAATTATTGAGCTTTTGAAGACTTAGTTGGTGGACAGAATCCTAAGGAAAAGAAGAAAGTAGAAAAGGAGGGAAAAAGAAATCAGAAGACTTCTATAGAAATAAAACTCATGAAATTTGCTACTTTTATCTGTGTTACAATTGTGGAAAATGTATTTACGGAAAGTTTTGTTTTGTTTCATCTTTACAAGCTAAAGCTAGAAACAGCACTTAAACTCACAGCTGATTGATAGTCTATAAGTTATGTTTATGGTTGGCTTTACTACTTATTTACATGACACATCTCACAGAGATACCAGGCATTTAAACATCAACCAACTACTGGCATTCAGTGAAGCTCATTATTTTTAATTGTATTTATTTGTATGCCTATTATAGTAGCATTTACCAGTTGAAATGAATATTGCCTAGATTGATTTCTCCATCAGTTATCTAGACTCTATCCATAAACAATACAGACAGGCAACTTGAGAAAGCAAGTCGTGCCACCTGTCCTAAATGCCCTTTTGAGGAAGGGATGAATCACTCTCCAAAGACGTTTCTTTTCTGACCACAGGAAGAGCCTTGTTTAAAGTGTTTGCCTTTTGTATACCTGCAGTTAGGCCAAAGGAATTGTGCCTATAATAAAAAAACAAGAACTCATCATCTAAGTAAGCCAGGTATAAGCAGGGGGAGGAAGATAGTAGCGGAAGGGGAATCTCTTACCCAAGGATCCAGATCAGTGACAGAGCAAATAAAATAACCAATCTTCAGCTTTCAGGCCAATATTTTACTTCAAGCCTTCCCTTCACCTTTATAGTCAGCGTGAGCTCTGCTATGGGAGTCAGTGGGAACAGGATGAGAGCCTGGATGGCCACCTGTAGTGATTTAAAATTGGTGGGTTTATGTTTATCTGTTCAGAAATCACTGCTATACTTCACATATTTTCCAACCAGTGTCACATCACTTTGTTATTGGCTGCCTGGGGAACAGTATAAATCAGAGGGGTGTCCTACTCAAACCTTACTAATGAAACGACTTTTGCATTGTAGTTGACCTGGACAGGTTGAATGATGATGTGAAACGTTACAGCTGCACTCCGAGAAACTACTCTGTCAATTTAAGGGAGGAACTGAAGCTGACAAATGTAGTTTTCTTCCCTCGCTGCCTCCTTGTCCAGCGCTGCGGAGGAAACTGTGGCTGTGGGACTTCGAACTGGAAATCCTGCACGTGCATGTCAGGGAAAACAGTGAGAAAATATCATGAGGTATTTTCACTTTTTTCTTTTCTTTGGTACTTCTTTTGGGTATTTATTTCTTACATGGATTCTGAAGGCTTTTCTCAGCTATGTGTGCTGCTTATATTGATTATCATGTTATATTGATCATGCTATATCATGTTACATTATCATTATGCTATACCATGTTATAGTATCATTATCATGTTATATTATCATGCTTATATTGATTATCATGTTGGATCTGCAGTGCAAAAATCAATGGGCAAAAATCAATGGGCAAAAATCACTGACTGCAGTGAAGTGTCATAGACAAAGATGCTATCATTTGAGAGACACCAGAGTGTTTAAATGAATGCCCCCTGTGGTCACCACTCTTCCTGAGGTGAAGGATCTGCTAGGCTTCCAGACAAGTTCAGGTAGCCTGAGAGTGCAGCCTAGACTTAGATAACGACATTGCTCTTGCTGTCCATGCTTGATACCTTGTGGAGCAGCATTCACACCTTCCACTGCAGTAAGCCATAGAGAGACACACACCCATGGAGTCAACCTGCAAGAAGGCCTGGTTTTAAATAAGTTTAATATTAATGTCTTTAATGTCACATTACAATATATACGTAGCAGCACAGCTTCAGGATACTGCAGTTTCTCTTTTTTCAGAACTTCTATTTTCTTGATGAATTTCTGCCTTTGGGATATACGGTGGATACAAATAATCGCCCAGCGATTTACGTTTGGAAGTGGTGAATGAGCAAAGTGGAAGGAGGTTATATATGTGTTAGAAAGGGATGTTAACAGGTATTTATGGGTAAGTTAATTTAGAAGAAGTTAGAGAGAACTTTTGCCACCTCTCTGTGCGGATGCTACCACAGCATCCTAGCGAACTTTGTGGCAAGAATGAGGCTTACGTTGGACTGATTTTTCTCAGCGAAGGACTGATACAACCACTGGAAATACTCTTTTTAGTAACACAGAGACATGTGTTCCTTGAGGCATTTGACTGCACTTCCTCTTGTTTTGTGCTATACCTTTTAATCTTATGACCATGCTTGGAAATGACAGTTAAGTCACTTGTAAACTCTCTTCCTTTCCAAATTTATTACCTGTAGGAAGCAGCTGAACCTTTCAGCCTTAGCTTTTTTCCCACTCAGCAATTTTTTAGGAAGGCAAAATTTTTGCATAGGAACAAAGTCCATCATATTTTTTTTTAATCCATTCAGAACACATTTACAGAGGAAAAAATCAAAGAGCATTTTATATTCTTGCCTCTAAATCAGTATTTTCAGAACCAGACATGAACAATGTTCACGAAAGTGAACGTATCTAGGGAAGTTACTTGGTGTTATCCTTTCAATTGTCTGAAAGTAGGTAGCTGCATGCCATGCTGACTTAATTTCTGACACATGTCTCTCATAAGAGCCTGATTTGCCACTTGGCTTAAGTCTCAAGTGAAAATGAACTTTATGGACTTTAAATCTGGATGTGATGTGGGCTCATACCGTAACTTGGGAGACCCTAGGGCTGCAATAGAAGGCTGTTGAAGGTCAGACCTTTGCCTTGCTGTCAGCAGTGTGGTTACTCTTTTCGAAGGTAAGAGATTTTTCTCACAATTAACTGCAGAATACAGCATACTGCATATCAGCTAGGACTAGAGAATAGTTAATATTTTATCAAATTTTAAGCAAGATGCAGGGGATGACCCTGGTAATTACAGAGCAGAAAGCCTTATCTCAGTGGTAAAGTTAATTGGAAAAAAAATTAATAGGTATAAAACACCTAGATGACTATGAGCTGATAAAATGAACTCAGAATGCCTTGTGCATGAATAAATATTTATACAGCACCACGACATTGTACAAGAATGCTAAAAGAGCTGGCACCTCTTCAGAGAGCAAACAGTCGATCAGACAAGATCAGACGTGGATTAGGAGATGGTTAAGAGATAAAGAGCAAAGAGGTGGAAGAGATGAGCAATTTTCTACATAGGAAGTGGCTACCTGTGGGTGCCCCCAGCACATGGATTACGTGTCATTTCATGTATGATCAATCTGGACGGAGGTGAACAGAAAGGTTACAAAAATGACAGCTAGCACAGGAAATAACATACTTTAACAGCAGAGAAGGCTGCGAGGGATTTCAGAAGGCCTGTGTAACTATTTATAAATGCAGTTTAGAAAAGCAGCAAGCATTAGGACGAGCAGTCTCGACTATTTATTCATATAACACTGGGTGCGTGAGGGGAGGAGGGAGAAACGAGGGGTGGAAGTTGGACTAAAGGTCAAGTAGTGAATCACTGTGAAGAGCTTCAGGAAAACAGTTGTTTAGTGCAGTGGTGATGGGAAAAACACCCAAGTGACAGTCTTCTGCAGGAATAGAGGTGAACAAGTAATAACACAGCAAATATTTATTATGGCCTGGATAAATCGGTGGGGTACTTATACTACTGGGTTTTGACTGTTGGTGCTTAGAAGGATACAGGCAGGAGTAGAAAAGATATACAGAAGCAGAAAACATACATCAAGAGAGATACAGGAGAAGATACACGTCAAAAACGTTTGTAAGGAAAGTGGCTCAGAAGTTTTGGATCACTTCATTTAGAAAAAAATGAGAATAAGAGAGGACACAGTGAAAGATATCACTTCTGGAAAATTGGCCTGCCTGTCTTTCTCACCCAGAAACACTGGGTAGCTCAAAAATGCCAGACAACTTTTAAGTGATTTCCAGTTGCATTTCTCCTGTTGAGGACAAGCATATCCATGTGCAGGACAAGTAGGTACTAATAGTGAATAGTACCTAAAGGAAAATTAGGTCTTCCTAAATAATCTTTTCCTTAAGAAAAGAACAAGTAGAGTCTGAGAGAGATTGAAAGGGAACTAATTTAAAATGATAAAAAGTAATTTGATTTTTTTGCATAGTGAATCTATATGGAATTTCAATGCTTAAATATGAGTGGTGCATAATTCAGAAGGATTCTGAGAGAATTAGAAGTAAAATATAAACTAAAGAATCCTGGGTCACATCTGTATCAGAACTTAAGCCACCTATTGACAGTACCTAGGAAAAAACCTACCTGATTATAAACATGTTATCAAGCACCTATTTTTTATCAGGTGTTTGGGAGCATCTGGGACACCAGAATATCACACCAACTGGGTATTGGTCAGAACTAGGATGTCATGACATACATCTGCTGCAAATTAATCACTAAATTCAGGAAATTCAATATTCACACTAATAAATCACTGCTAATTTATTTCACTAGTCCTGTGTTCTTTGAAAACCATATGAATTCAAGACAGCGTTCAAGTTTTAACATTAAATGGCTTTTGTAAGTTTAAATTTAAACTTAATCCCTTAGGGATGAATTAACAGCTCACTGAGCAGAAATTTAGCCAAGTGGCTCCCATTAACATGAGTGGAAGTCATGCAGATAAATTCACATATGACATACTAAAGATGTGTCCATTACTTTTAGTTCAAAATATTTTCCACTTTATTATTATTATGATTATTATTATTATTAGCCACGCACAGCTAATCAGTTTTATACTTTATTCTCCTTCGACACTTAACTCTAATTTTATTTAAATGCCTGGCAGTAAAAGCACTGAGGAGGGGCCTCTCGACATGCCAGTTTTAGAACCATGGAGCTGGTTTACTCTTTTAGAAGCCAATTTGAAACCCACTAACCTTAACCAAAAAGCCTTTAGTTGCATAACAAAGGACAGAGCTTTATGAAATCCCCAGTGCTGTTAATTTGGTTAGAAATCTCTGCCTTCTGCTGCAGGAGAATGTAGGCCAGATTCAAACACAAGTCCCAATTACTTCGATTTACTTGCAAAAGACACCCAAAGGAAGTATAAGGTAGTGGAGCAAAGAAGGTGTTTGTAGCAGCTGAAATTGAATCCTGCAGACCGCAGACCACTTCTCTTGCCAGGCTGATTTTGCCTAACCACTATCCTCGAGCTTCATCCACTGAGCTCTTGTACCCACCAAAGCTACTTGTCCTGCACATGGATATGCTTGTCCTCAACAGGAGAAATGCAACTGGAAATCACTTAAAAGTTGTCTGGCATTTTTGAGCTACCCAGTGTTTCTGGGTGAGAAAGACAGGCAGGCCAATTTTCCAGAAGCGATAGGCTCCTTTTTGGCTTTGTAGCCAGTGCCTTGCAGTGCCGGAGTAGCTGCATGCAGGCAGCTGTGGGGACAGTAATGCCAAGAGTGTTTGTTGAGTTAGAGCCTTCTAGTCCAGAAAGATTTCAAGGTTATCTTCTCCTTATGCTCTTAACGTTTTTTAGTTCCCCCTTAGTTCCTACTCAAAGCCTCACGCTGTACTCATCACCGAGTGCTCCCTCCTACTATTGCAGGACTAAGAGCTATCACGTGTAGCCTTTAATTTCCCCAAGCTGTGAGTGCTGCTCCAGTTCCCTGAACAGACTGTTCAGCTCTTTCCTATCACGTCCAATTATAAGAAATAATGCAACAGCGGCGAAAATGAGAAAATGAGAATGCCATGGTAAGGGGTATCTTTTTCTTTATTGCCCTGGGAAATGCTAATAATGAGCTCTCAGGTCTTTTTTATAACCTGGAAGTGTGCCATAACTTTACCAAAATACTTGGCAGTTTCCAGAAGTAAATGGGTTCATAACTTGAGTAAACAGATAGTTTTATGGATGGGGGTTTTTTGCAGGAGTCTTGTGATGCTCTGTGGTTTTGCACAGCTTCTGGGTTTTCTTGAGACCAGAGCTCGTGGACAAATACTCATGACTTACCACATAGTGTCACGCACCCTGCAAACCAAACAGGCCAAGTGCTGGCAGTATTTCAAACATCTCTCAGGCACAGTCTACCATAAGTGATACTGAGTTATGTCACAGGGCTCCGTGCAAAGGAAAGATAAAGCAATTCATGGAAATGGATGCAGCACACCTTAGTCAAATGCTCACATCTACTGTCTAACTTGCTAAAGGGGAGCTGAAATGAAAACGTGTTTTCCATTGCAGTGCATTTCTTTGGAAATGCCTGGAGCT